GGGGGGGGGGGTGGGGGGCAAAGTGCGAGTTTTTACAGGACGACGGCAATTATTAGGAAGCTGTCGATTGCCTACACCTAGCCTCAAATAGACCTTCGAGCGGTGTCCAAAAGTACGTATCGGTATCGCCGTATTCGTATTCCGGACAACCCTAGCTATATCAGCCGCTATCCGGCCGGCCAGAACTCCGGTCGGCACCATGTCCGCCGTTATCGATACAAAGGCGACAGATGAGGCTAGCGATGCTGCCAAGACTGATCAGATCAGGCTGACGGTTGCGGCTGTAGGGGAAAGTATCGACCGTTATAAGTCTTAACCACGGGTTATTGATGTCTGTGGATCGTCAGTCTCTGTGCATCTGTCTCTATAGGGCTATACTGTATATCTCTCTGAGGAGTCTTTGTGTTCAACACAGTAATATCAGGGCACTTCGAGTCCCACAATTCCCTGGTCATTTGCCTTGAGACTTGCAAGCCAACACTACTCAACATGGTGAGCAGCTTTGCTTCCGGGCCCGCCAGGCTTGGCAATGGTGCCGGCGAGTCGACCATCTTGGTCTTTGGTAACTACATCGGCACCGCCGACACCAAGAAATCTCTAGACAAGACTGTCCGGCAGCTATCGCAAGGCCCTCACCGAGACTGGGTTCTAGAGACCATAGCCGAGCTGCCAAGCTTTTGGGATGCCTTAGTCGCCAAGGTGCCCGAGGTAGCCACCGCCATACCAGACACTCCCAAGCGCCTCGTCGACCTCGACTCATGGTTCCGACACGGCACATCGGACCTGGCCCCGGAGGCCACCGTCCCCCGGCCCGTGATCGGCCCTGTGATTGTCCTCTCTCAGCTCACGCAGTACTGGCGCTACCTCGAGCTAACATACCAAGGCGAGCCCGTGGCCGACGTCCTTGCCAGCCGCCTCGCCTCTTCCTCCTCCTCCCCAGCCCAACTCCCAGTCTCCCTCGGCTTCTGCGCCGGCTTGATGCCCGCCATGGCCGTCGCCAGCGCGCACAACCGGCAGGAATTCCAAAAGTACGCCGCCGTGGCCGCGCGCCTGTCCATGCTCGCAGGCGCCCTGACGGACGCGCGCGAGGCGCAGGACAGGGAGGGCGAGAAGGGCGGCACTGTCTCCTTTGCCGCCGCGTGGGTCGGCCAGAAGCAGGCCGACGACCTGAAGCGCATCGTGGCTGAGCTGGCGCCTGATGCGTACACGGCTTTGGTGTACGACGAGGCAAGGGCGTCGTTGGTCACGAACGAGGCAACGGGGCCGTTGCTGGAGAAAAAGCTCCGTGCTGCGGGGATCATTGTCGCGGATACCGACTTCAGAGCCCGGCTTCATGATCCTGACCCGGTCAGGGCGGGACACATCGATCCCCTGCTTGAGCTGTGCCGGGAGGTGCCGAGTCTGCAGTATGCTGATGCGGCGGGGCTGGCGTTGGCGACGTACGACAACAGCGGCGATGGCAGACGAGTGACGGAGGGGAATCTGACTGAGTTAGTGCTGCGTGGGATGTTGGCGCGGCAGGTGGATTGGTTCAAGACCTTCTCTGCCGTTGCTGGCGAGGCTAAGAATCCCTGCGTTGTGACGATTGGCCCGGAGCAGTGTGTGCCGCCAACTTGGATGAAGAAGCTGGATGGTCGGGCAAAACACTTTGACGAAATTGAGTCTTCATTGGGGGGCCGGGCGACGCTGTCATTGGGTGGGCAGCCCAGTTCTAGTCTCGCACCATCAGCGATAGAAGGTCCTCAACTGCAGCCCAACACAACACAGCAGCTGTCCACACAAGATGCAGCATACAACAACGCCATCGCCGTCGTCGGCATGTCCATCAAATGCGCCGGTGCCGACGACCTGGCCGAGTTCGTCGACATGCTCAAGACGGGCAAGTCGCAACACGAGTTCATCACCGAGGAGCGCATAGAACGTGACCTGGCCTTCCGCACACCAGGCGACCCTGACCCGCAGCGCAAATACTACGGCAACTTCTACCGCGACCCCGACGCCTTCGACCACCGCTTCTTCAAGCGCAGCCCGATCGAGTCGGCCGCCATGGACCCGCAGGGCCGCATGGTCCTCGAGGGCGCCTACCAGGCCGTCGAGCAGTCGGGGTACTTCCACGGTCTGAGCGACAGCAAGCATGTGGGTGTGTACGTGGGCTCGTCGGGCTGTGCGTACGACTACAATATCGAGTGCAATGATACGAGTGCCTTCACGGGAACCGGATCGGCCAAGAGTTTCATCGCCGGCCGAGTCTCGCATTACTTTGGCTGGACGGGTCCGTCCATGACCTTCGACACGGCGTGCTCTTCATCGGCCGTCGCCATCCACACGGCGTGTCGAAACCTCTTGTCAGGCGAGTGCACGGCTGCTCTCGCGGGCGGCTGCAACGCCATCGCCAACTTCATGTGGTTCCAGAACCTCGCGGCCGGCAACTACCTCAGCCCGACCGGGCAGTGCAAACCCTTTGACGATGCTGCTGATGGCTACTGCCGCGCCGATGGCGTCGGCTTTGTCTTTTTGAAGAAGCTGTCGGATGCTGTGCGGGACGGAAACCAAGTCTTGGCTGTCATTTCCAGCACGGCCGTCTACCAAAACCAGAACTTCACACCCATCTTTGTGCCCAACTCGGCCTCGCTTTCGCAGCTGTTTGGGGACGTGGTGCGCAAGGCCAACGTTGCTCCCAAGGATATCTCGCTGGTCGAGGCCCATGGCACGGGCACACCCGTGGGAGATCCGGCCGAGTACGAGAGTATCCGGATCGCCTTGGGTGGGCCGGAATCGGGTCGTGTCAAGAACCTCCCAATCGGATCGGTCAAGGGCCACATAGGGCATGCTGAGGGCGCGTCTGGCGTTCTTGCCCTCATCAAGGTCATCATGATGATGCGCGAGGGCTTCATCCCGGCGCAAGCGAGCTTCAAGAAGATGAACCACAACATCAATGCCCGCCCTGATGACATGATGGAGGTCAACACGAAGCTGCGCCCCTGGCAAGAGGAGCATAAGATCGCCTTGTTGAACAACTACGGCGCCTGCGGGTCCAATGCCAGCTTCATCGTCGCACAAACACCAAAGGCTCTGGCTGGGGCTAGCGACAACTTGACCATTGGCGAGGATTCCCAGTATCCGTTCTGGATCCGTGGCCTAGATGCCCGGGCAATCTCTGCATACTCTGCCAAGCTGGCTTCGTACTGCAAGTTTTTGCCTTCAACCAACACCTTGGCCGACATCTGCTTCGCCCTCGGTCGCCAATCCAATCGTGGCTTGGGCCAAGGGCTCATCTTCAGCTGTCGGTCGAGAGCCGAGCTCCAGGACAAGTTGCAGCAAGCCGCGTTGGCATCCGACAAGGCCTCGGCTGCACAGATCGGAGTTGCGTCTGTCAAGGCCGAGAGACCCGTCATTATGTGCTTTGGCGGTCAGGTTTCGCGGTTCGTTGGCCTCGACCGGAAGCTGTACGACAATGTGGCCGTGCTTCGCAAGCATCTTGATGACTGCGACACAGTGGCCAAGTCTCTGGGTCTGGGAAGCATCTACCCTGATGTCTTCTCGACACAGCCGATTGCGGACACGGTCAAGCTGCAGACGGCCCTTTTTGCGACGCAGTACGCCTCGGCCAAGACTTGGATGGACTGTGGTCTCGAGAGCAAGATCGCGGCTGTCGTGGGCCATAGCTTCGGGGAGATCACAGGTTTGTGTGTGGCTGGTGCCTTGAACCTTGAGGATGCAATCAAGCTCGTGGCGGCCAGGGCCAAGCTCGTCCGCGATTCGTGGGGCTCCGACGCAGGCGCTATGATGGCCGTGGAAGCGGATGAAACCCTGATCAAGGAGCTCTTGCAGGAAGCAAACGGCTCTCCGAGCTCAGACGGACTGGCCAGCATAGCATGCTACAACGGCCCGCGAAGCTTCACCCTGGCTGGTTCCACGGCTGCTGTCGATGCCGTCCAGCGAACACTGACGGGTGCCAAGTTCTCCGCCGTCCAGAGCAAACGTCTTAGCGTGACCAATGCCTTCCACTCGGCACTGGTTGACAAGATTGTCGACGCGCTTGGGGCGGTCGGGAAGGGAATCACCTTCCATAAGCCGATGATCCCCGTGGAGCGCGCAACGGAGGAGACCAATACCACACTGGACTGGTCGTTTGTTCCTACCCACATGCGGCAACCTGTCTTCTTCAACCACGCCGTGCAGCGCCTGGCGAAACAGTATCCTCAGGCTGTCTTCCTCGAGGCTGGCTCCAACTCGACCATCGCCGTCATGGCAGGTCGTGCCCTGGCCCAAGCTAATGTCGTTACCCAAGATCATCACTTCCAGGCCGTCTCTATCACCAATACCCAGAACGGCTTCAACGGACTAACAGACGCGACCGTGGCCCTCTGGAAGCAGGGCTTGCGCGTGTCGTTCTGGCCCCATCACCAACAATCGACGCTTGACTACACTCCGTTGCTCTTGCCGCCCTACCAGTTTGACAAGTCGCCAGCCTCCCGTCACTGGCTGCCCGTCAAGTCGGCGTCTGAGGTGATCCAGAAGGCTGCCGAGGAGCTTCTGAAGCAACGAGGGGCTCTTTTGGCTCCGGAAAGCTCAGGTCTAGATGCCAAGTCGATGGCTCCGTTCGAGTTTGTCGGGTATCAAGACAAGCACAAGAAGACGGCTCGATTCCGCGTCCACACTGCCTCGGAGAAATTCCAGACCCTGTTCTCTGCCCACGTCATTGCCCAGACAGCACCCATCTGTCCCGGCATTCTCGCATGGGACATCACCCTCGAGGCCCTGTTCAGCCTGATCCCCAACTCAAAGCAAGACGGCCTCCTTCCCGTCGGCCGTGACTGGGGCTTCCCCTCAGCCATGTGCGCGGACCCGTCCCGCGTCGTGTATCTTGAGCTATCCGCCCTCGACAAGACCAACAACAAGCAGTCATCCGCAAAGCAATGGCAAGCCCTCATGTTCAGCGTCGACAAGGACAGCACGGCCGAGCGTCTCCAGACACACTTCAAAGCACGCGTGGACATCAGCTCACCCACCGACACGGCCTACATCAACGAGTTTGCGCTCTTTGAGCGTCTCGTCAGCCACGCGCAGTGTCTGGAGCTACTCCAACTGAGCCTCGACAACCAGGGCGTCGAGGTGCTGCAGGGCCGCCATCTCTACCGCGCCTTCGCCCCCGCCGTCGACTACGGCGACGTCTTCAAGGGCGTCAGCTACCTCGTGGGCCGGGGCAGCGAGAGCGCCGCGCGCGTGCAGCTCGAGAGGCAGCATCGCCGGACGGACACATGGGTGGACACGCCCATGAGCGACTCGCTCGCCCAGGCCTCGGGTGTGTGGCTGAACCTCATGACGGACTGCCCTGTCGAGGACATGTACGTTGCTGCTGGGTGCAACATGCTCATGCGGTCGCCTAAGCTTACGGCTGCTGGTCGGGCTGAGACGGACGTGTGGCATGTGTATGCCCGCAATGCGCGCCAGAGTGATACGGCGTATTTGACGGATCTGTTTGTGTTTGATGCTGCGACGGGGATGCTTGTTGAGGTCATGTTGGGCATGCAGTATCATCGCGTGAGCAAGGCTTTGATGAGCAAGACGCTGGCTCGCTTGACGAAGGATGAGTCGGTCCTGCGTGTCCCTGCTTCGGCTGCGGCTCCGGCGGCAACTCGGACAGCTGTGGGTACAAGCCCGGTAGAGGCCAAGCCCGCTCTCAAGATCAGCACGGAGAAAAAGGACAACTCGGCCGGAACGAAGAAGAAGGCCAAGGTAGCCTCATCAGCTCCGGCTTCAAACAGACGCGACATCACCGACGAGGTGCGCAACCTGGTGGCTCGCGTTGCCGGCGTCGATGCTGAGGATATGGAGCTTGATGACCATATGGCCGACTTTGGCATCGACTCGCTGATGGATATGGAGCTTGCGCGTGAGGTAGAGAGGTCCTTCAAGTGCACTCTGGACCAGGCTGAACAGCTGGCTGCGACGACTCTGCGTCTGTTTGTCGTCTGTGTGGAGCATGCCCTATTTGGAGCAGATGCGGATGTTCCTGTGGAGGTTGAAGAGGACGAATTTGAGACGTCGTCTGATGATGGCTCGTCTTTGGTCGTCGTGGATCAAGATTCGGCCATGTCCACTCCCGGCATGTTCTCCGATAGCGAGCCTACGGAAAAGGAGGCCCCGAAAGTTCCAGGGCCTGCAAATGGCACCGCGCCACCCGCCATCACCAACCTGTCCCTGTCGCCGTCAGATATTCTCGATGCTTTTGCCGAGGTCAAACTGAAGACCGACGCGCGTATCCCCGAGTTCCACGTCGAGAACGTCGAAAAGGTCCTAATTGCCGGCAGCAACCGGCTCGGTGCGGCCCTTGTGGTCGAGGCCTTCGACCAGCTCGGATCTCCTCTTCGCACTGCGTCCCCCGGACAAGTTCTCGACCGCGTCCACTTCCACCCTCGCCACGCCCCCTTGATGAAATGCATATACGAGTTCCTCGAGCGTGAGGCCCGTCTCATCGACATTGATCCGGCAACAGGAAAAGTGACGCGCACGCACTTCGCTGCCCCGGCTAAGTCGAGCGATGCCATCCTCCACGAATTGCTTGTTGAGCATCCCGAACACCCCCAGGCCAACCGTCTCCTGCACCACGCCGGCAAGCATCTGGCGGGCGTGCTATCTGGCAAGACGGACGGAATTCGCGTCCTCTTCGGGAGCCCCGAGGGCCAGGCGTTGACGGCGGCCCTGTATTCAGATTGGCCGCTCAGCCGTTTGAACAACGCCAACTTGCGCGATGTGGTCAAGGGGGTCTGTGAGCGCGTTCGTCAGCGAGGAACTGGCGAGACGCTCAAGATCATGGAGATGGGGGCTGGCACTGGTGGTACCACCAAGAACATCTTGCCCGTACTGAAGGAGATGGGCATTCCTGTCGAGTACACTTTCACCGATCTCTCAGCCTCCATGGTCGCTGCTGCCCGTCGCCGCTGGTCAACCGAGTACCCCTTCATGCGCTTCGCCGTGCACAACATCGAGGAATCGCCCGCCGAGCACCTCCGCGGGAACCACCTCGTCCTGGCCGCCAACGCCGTGCACGCCACCCACAACCTCGTCACATCCTTGACCTACATCCGCCAGGCCCTGCGCCCAGACGGCTTCATCCTGCTCAACGAACTGACCAACACTCTCCCCGTGCAGTTCCTCTACCTCGTCTTCGGCCTCCTCGAAGGCTGGTGGCTGTTCGACGACGGCCGCACGGACGCCCTCGTCACGCCCGAGCACTGGGAGCAGGAGATGCACAAGGCCGGCTTCGGCCACGTCGACTGGACCGACGGCAACCTCCCCGAAAGCTCGTACCAGAAGGTCCTCATCGCGCTCGCCTCCGGCGCCCAGGGCCCATATCTGCCCAAGCCGGCCCTCGCGCCCGACGCCGAGCTCAACAAGGGCGACGTCCCGGCCCGCACCGCCGAGGCCGAGCGCCTCGTGGCCAAATTCGTCAGCGGGTGGGACAAGCCGCGCCTGCGCACCCTCATCAACACCAGCAGCATGGGTCCCGGCCCCGGGCCCACGACGCCGCCATTGTCGTCCAACAACAAGCTCGGCGCCGTCGTCCTCGTCACCGGCGCCACCGGCAGCCTCGGCTCGCACATCGTCGCCAAGCTGGCCGAGAACCCGGCCGTGTCCACCGTCGTCTGCGTGAACCGCGCCAGCAGCGAGCCCGTCGCCAAGCGGCAGCACGAGGCCTTCTCGTCGCGCGGCATCGTGCTAGGTCCGGGCGCGCGCGCCAAGCTCCGCGTGCTGGAGACCGATACCTCGAAGCCGCAGCTTGAGCTGCCCCCCGCCGAGTACGCGTGGCTGGTGCAGAATGCCACGGGCGTGGTGCACAATGCCTGGCCCATGAGCATCACGCGCCCGATTACGGGTTATGAGCCCCAGCTGCAGGCGATGCGGAATTTGCTGGATCTGGCAAGGGATGCGGTGCTTGCGCGGGGAAATCATCTGCGCTTCGCCTTCCAGTTCGTCTCGTCGATTGGGGTTGTTGGCTGCGCGGGCGTGCCCCGCGTGCTGGAGCGACGCGTCCCGCTCGAGGCGGCCCTGCCGAAGGGGTATACCGAGGCGAAGTGGGTGTGTGAGCGCATGCTGGACGAGACCATGCATCAGTATCCGGCGCTGTTCCGGCCGCATGTCACGCGGGCCGGACAGATTGCTGGGTCGTCGGAGAGCGGGTATTGGAACCCCGTCGAGCATTTAGCGTCTGTGGTCAAGTCGGCACAGGCGGTCCAGTCCTGGCCTGACTTGCACGGGAGGATGCAGTGGATGCCGGTTGATCATATGGCGGGTGTTGTTGCGGATTTGGTTATGAATCCCGTGGCTGAGTATCCCGTCTATCATATCGATAACCCGGTCGGCCAGCCGTGGAGGGAGATGTCGCCGGTGCTGGCACGCGCACTGGGCATCCCGGCGAAGGATATTGTTCCGTTCAAGGAGTGGATCCGGCGGGTGACGTCGTCGACGCTGGCCGACTCGGATAACCCGGCGGCGAGGCCCGGTATGAGAGATTTCCTGATGGCAAACTTTGAGCGTGTAAATGCTGGTGATCTGATCTTGGATACGGAGAGGGCGCAAGAGCATAGTCCCACAATGGCGGCGGAGGGACCTGTGAGTCCAGAGCTAGTGGTGAAGTATGTGGATGCGTGGAAGAAGATGGGCTTCCTGTCCTAAGGAGATTGTCTACTTTCATTGTTCAGCTTTCTTTGGTAGTGTGAGTATATCCTTGTCAGAGTTTTGTAGGATTTGAACAGCTCAAGATCATCATCCACCTTGTATTAGATTATAGTCACCAGCAGAGGCGAATGTAGTGGTGGCCACAAGTGTATTGGACCTTTACGTCGAGAACTTCTCAGCTACTGTTACAATAATACGTTTGTCATCCTCACCGTCTGCCCATCAAGATCCCTGTGTAAGCCACGACTGCCCGTGTCAGGCCGTACCCGCGATGAGAATCCTCATTTATGTTTCTCGAACTTCGCACGAATTTCCTCCTCAGTGAACTTCCTAGTTGCCTTCTTCAGGAGTGCCACCCGCTCTTCCATGCTCAGTTTGGTCTGTTTGCTCAAGGGTACCATACACTTGGCCAAGTGCTCGTAGTCCTTCATAAGGAGCCGGACGGTGATCATGATATAGTCGCCTTCTAGGGTCGTCATTTTGCGAACTTAAGCCAAACAAGGGAAGTCACATGTTCCTATCACGTTGATCCGGGTCGCAACCAACCTGGAACGATCTCAACATCACAGATCTCATCGCCCACAGGAGGATTTAGGGAGCTCTACGGGACCTCGGAAAATCCCGACCTTGGAGGCAATAGAAGGAGTCAGACCGTCCAATAGCAGCATAGACATCGGTCAGCTACACCGTTTGTTAAAGAGCATATTTCATCACCCCAGGCTGCAGCTCACGGAGGGTAGAAAAATCTCACAAAGGGTAGCTAAGTAGGGTACCCCCCTGAAGCAAGATTTTAGTTACAGAGGGTAGAAAGGCATATACTAAGCGAATGCTAAGAGAGTATCAGATCATATAATAGTCATATACAAATTTCAACCCTAATAAAATATAGAAAATATATACTAAGTATATATAAACTATATATAAAGTAAATTTTATAAATACTAAATAAAGTTAACGTACTTACATAGTAAATAACATATCATAGCAAACAACACACCTTTTATACATTATACTATCTTTATATAAGTTATTTCCACCATAACAATTTAAATCAATTAAAACTATTTAGAATTCTTATCTTTAGATATTTCTATATTTAATTAATATATTTATATATTATAACCAAGCTTTCTATAATTATTATAGTATCAAATATATTGTTAGTCTTTCTTTATATAACCTTTTTTTATATTTATATTTATATTATTTTTAATTATAAAGCTTCTTTCTTTTTATATTTATTCTACTTTTTATTATAATAATAATTTTTTTTTACTTTTTAACATTTACTTAATACTTTATTTAATATTTAAAGGTTTTAAATCTTTTATTTTATTAAAATAATTTTATATAATCTTTTTCATAATTATATAATATATTCGCATTATAAGTGGCCTAACATAGTAAGTAACCCACCATTCATATATCATACCACTTTCTAACTTCAATATAAATTTTCTCTACCAACAATAATAGATTCCTCTTTAAATAAAGCAAAGATTATTATAGTTATTTAAACTCTTAAAAAAGATCCTAAACTAAGCATATAAAAAGCTATTATAATCTATAATATACTTTATATAATACTTTGTTGCCAACATAATAGTAAACCATTTCGATATAATATCTTTCTTAATTTAAAGCTATTGATATAATTAAAAGAAAAGATATTAATTAAGTATATTCTTAACTTAAATTTATAAAGGTTTTAACTATAGTTTTATAATATATAAAATATAGTCGATTATATTCTTAAATTATATAATAGATAATATATTAGATTCTAATAAATAGAAAACTTTATATAATAATATCTTAAGATAAATATATATTTTTAATATTAAATTAACTATTAAAAAGCTTTATATAAAAATCTAAAGATAATTAAAAGATAATTTATATTTATATAAAATATAAA